GTCACGTTCTTGAGAAACACATGAATTTGTGAAAGAAGCATTCCTGGAGGCTGCCGACGCGCTTTTGGGGGACAGTAAAAATAACAGTAGCATTTCAACAGGTTTTTGATATAATAAAAACTCAAGTTAGATACCGTTATTAATCAGCAGTAAGTTTTAGTTTGTTTGAACTTATTCATTATAATTATTGTACAAAATGGTATAAGAATGCAAACATTAAGATATGTTCTGTTTAAATTGATTATAGTCTATTATCAATGGAGGTTAAGAAACTAATGTTGCTTGCAACCTATTTTAAAGGAATTTCTTTTTATACTTTACTAAAATGCAACACAAAAAGGGTTTGATTCTATTCATTTTGTCTTTTTTATTGCACTTTGGCAGCAGATTCCTGTGTAGCTTCAGATCTGAGTTGTCTTATTAGTAAGCCTAGTTTATACTTTTGTAGCAACACTATTTTTATATAATGGCAAAGAAAGGGTTCAGAGTCTTTTCTTTTTTCCCTGTGTCATATGTGGCAGGCCGCAGCACTGTTCAATGTTTCTTGAAAACATTACCACTGTAGTATGTCACGTGTGAATAAACTCCAACTCTGTATCAACAACACTGTTGTGTAACTTCAGTTAAATACTTGTATGTGTGTAGATTAGAAAGAGGTAAGATAAAGGATCTGCAGTATTTTATGAAGTATTAATCGTACGAAGGTCAGTTTTATACAAGTAGAAGTGTGTATTTACCTGGTAGTTGGCTTTCAGTAATGGCTACGCCTCTCTATTTGGACTGGTAGATCTCGGCAGACTGGCGACTTTAAAAGTAGCTCTCGGTTCAAAAAAGGTTGGGCACCCCTAATCTAACGGGTTCGTTTTCCACAGACCATATTTCGAGCTATTTTCCAAAACCCTATGGAGAAATCCCATTGCTTTTGTGTCGAGGGACCCCGAGCGCAGCTTACTTCCGGGTTTTAGGACGTGTCACTGCACCTCTATAACACACATGCATAAACTNCAGTAATGGCTACGCCTCTCTATTTGGAATGGTAGATCTCGGCAGACTGGCAACTTTAAAAGTAGCTCTCGGTTCAAAAAAGGTTGGGCACCCATGGACTAGATAGTTAATGGTTAGTTAATGAGGAGTTCCTGAGTGACTGCAATTGAAGAACTGATGGATAGTTACTGGTAAACAGACTGGGGGGGTACTGTATTAATGAATG